CATGAAAATTAATTGCGATTTAGCAATTTAATGATGCATCCACCTTGATTTATTGAAAAGTATCGGTATCAATATTGATATTGGCAATACTGGCCCGTATTCACTTGGTATCGGATGGATACCAAAATATGAAGTATCGCACACCACTAATTGACAGTGCCCTACAACTGATCAGGATGGAGAACACAATGCGCTGTAAAAAAAAAACAAAAAAACAAAAACAAACCAAAAAAAAAGTGCAAAATTGCACCCCAAAAAATCTGCGAAACAGCGAGGCCGTAAAAAGTGAACAACATTATAGCGAGGGACCACTGTATTCTAGAGTTCATGAGAGTGATTGCTGTCAGAGGAATGAGCTGGTGGTGCGGGTGCAGCCAAATGAAGCCATTTACTTAAAAATGATGACCAAGAGGCCTGGAGTTTACTTCAATCCAGAGGAGACTGAGCTGGATCTCACCTACAAGAGTCGATACAAGGTGCCTCAAGCTCATGTCAAAATATTAATTGTAATCCAGCTTTCAGAAGCAACTCTTAATCTTGCAGGAAACGTATTATGCTTTTCCTTACAGAATGTATATATTCTGTAAGGAAAAGACAATTTAATTATGAGCAATCCTTGTGAGCCACAACCTTAGGCTTAGACTGCTTCAGTTTTTGGGGGGTTTGTTCTACTTTGAAATGATGTCAGTATGTGTGGAAATCCTTAATCCAGTCATCTCAGGCAAATTGCTCCAGATATTAGTACAGCAATGACACCCACCTGTTCTTCAAAGACTCTCTTGGCAATAGATAAAGTGGGAAAAAAGCACAATAAATCACCTTTAAAATAATATTATATTTAATACATTTTGAGACTTTTATGGTGGATGTCCCATTGTTACTTATCCTTGATACTGTAGGTCAGTAAACTTGAACTTAGTATGCATGTAGGAGTTTAACAGCTGCTGTCTATTTGCAGGATGTGACGCTCCCAGATGCTTATGAAAGACTCATACTGGATGTCTTCTGTGGAAATCAAATGCATTTTGTTCGCAGGTTCGTGCCATCATTGAATGAGCACATCTGCACAGTTGTTGCCAAGTATTTTATCGACACTTTTAGTTGGAGACAGCTCTTTTTAATTTTTTAGGCAGTGATTTTCAGTGTTCCCTCTTTTTATTTATTTGGGTTTTTTTGTTGAAATGTTTTCATCTTTCTGTCTCAGTGATGAGTTACAGGAGGCCTGGAGGATCTTCACCCCCCTCCTCCACCAAGTAGAGAAAGAGAAGCCACGCCCCATTCCCTACACATATGGAAGGTAACTACTGTTTTATGAGGCAGAATGAAATACGCATATCATACTTTAACAGTGACAGTTCTTCTTTCCATCTTATCTGTTATGTCCATAGTCGTTGTCCAAGAGAAGCAGATGATCTCCTGAAGAGAGTGGGATTTTGCTATGAGGGAACATACAAGTGGGTGCAGCCCCACACCGCTTAATTCTTTCTGTCTCACAATCAAGTACTTGAGAAAAGATTGTTTTTTCTACAGTGTGGTGGCAAAGTTTACAAACAATCACGTTTACTGCAGTCACTGCTGCACTTGATTGATTTCTGCATGTACAGAAGAAAGCACTGCTTTTTATGACCAATTATGCAGAGAATGACAGCAGAGATTAAAACAAGCTGTAACAGTCTGATTTTGATGTAAATCTGGTTTTTCTAAATAAATCATTATTCACTCTTTTTCTTGCAATTTTTTTCAAAAGCATTGCAAATATCTGTATTCCTACGACCTTTGGCCATTGTGGACATGGAAAATCTACAACCTTTATGGTATCTTATAGATACGAGTATAGGATAATTATTTACTGGCTGTGCCATTTAACTGTTAAGAATTCAAGAGTGTTCACTGTATTGTAAGGCCTTTGTTTACAATTGTCACTAATACCCAATGGGAGTCATAAACAGATCCATGTATACCAGAAGGACCTGCTGGCCTGGTTCGTAACAACAGGTGCCTCTTTTAGTATCAGTCATGCAGGAAACACATTTAAATGTCTGGCGTAAGGCAAGAACAACTCTCAGGTATGTTCTAATCTAAACTAAGAACTCTCTTACTAACATGTTAATCTCTTACAATGCATGAACATTAACATGTTTTCAAATGGTTTTATTTTTTCCTATTTCTATCAGCAGTTTTCACCAGATTGATTCTGTTTTTTGTACTTTGTCTCTGCCAGGTTCAAGGCCTAACTGGAACTGCGTGCACACAGTTTCATTCACATCAGTAATAGACCATTAAGTGATCCTGCCAGTACTTTGAAGGCAGCGGGAAGTGCAGCAAGAACAAACATCTTTTTAAACAACTTTTTGTAGTTTCTGTGACAACCTATTGAAGTAATGATTTTAATGGGCCATATATATTAGTAAATTGTCATGCATTTCATAGATTTGTGTGAAGCTAAAAATTGTTCACTGATAATGTAGAACCAGTAATCATTCACCTTTTATTCAGCTGGATATAAAATTTGCACTGCTGCTGAACAATCAAGCAATAAAAAGTCATGCAAGCCTTTTTCATTACACAAAGATTTTGTTGTCTTTCAAGTTCTGTTTGCATTTCCCATGACTTTATTCTCTGAAAACATGAGCACATAAATAAAATTCAGACCACAAACTGCTCACTTGCCGCATACTGTATAAATTAATGTAGTTTACTCACACAAAAAAAGCCCCCAAAATTAGCAAGCGGTAGTCAACTAACACACACATGCACATTTAAGAATAAATAGTCTTCATCGTTACAATGAAAATAATCCATAGAAGTACCTGAAATAAAAGGAACTTTTTGGCAATCACATAAAGCAAGTCTGGCCATTTATTTTTTTATTTTTTAATAAATTCACAAATCAGTCCCACGATGCAAACACACCATTCTTCACTTTTTTCTCATCAAGAATTTAGTTCAGACTATTTGTATGTGATGCATCTACTTTTATTCTTGTCAGTCTCCTGGCTGCAGTTTTGCATGGCTGCTCCGTCCTCAATGCCCCTGGCGTACAGACGTACCAGCTGACCGTGGATCCTGACAGAAGTGAACAAATCTATTTAATTATATATCTTATGTATCATAACGTATTATTGTAGGATCTTTACCCTACAATACAAAGTGCTATGAGGCAACTGTTGTAATTTAGCACTGTATAAATAAAATTGAATTGTAGAACAACATGTTGGGTGGTGCTTTTACCTGCAGAAGATCTCAGTGAAAGGCAGAATCTCTCCATCACAGTTCCACACAGACACAGCTGGAGTCTTTTTGCAGCACAGACCACACAGGATGGGAGCCACTGTTTTGTGCTCGTTCATCTTCTCTCGCTCCACCACACTCTGTGCCAATTGCTGCTGAGATCCATTTCTGCTTACAGTGTCCAAGTATTCTCGCTCTTCGCCACTTATTGTGCGATTCAGCTCTCCGATTTCTTCATGCACCTCTTCTTCTCTGCCATCTGGGAGAGAGAAACGGACGGCCTTCACTCGATGGACCTCCACAAACGGCAGGTCAAACTAGGAGAAGTAGGAACAATTGGGTCAAGCAGTTTCTAATATTTCTCAGTCCATTTTTGTTTTCAGCTGAATTTGACATACCTGGTCCTGTGTGCTTGTGTGCCTGTAGACGAACTTGAGGAAGCTCAGTGGGTGAGTGTCCCATACTAGGATGAGATGCCCTGTTCCGTCTGCCAGATGAGCAGATGGAGAGAGACCTAATGGGCTCCTGGCACATGAGCTGGACATACAAGTGAGCGATACACACCTGAACCTGCCCTCCACACTTACCCATTCACCTAAAAAGAGACGAAGAGAATGGAGATACTACAATTAGAACAATCTTAGCAGATGTTGATGATTTCTAAAAGAAAATAATGTTTGACCAACGTTTAATTACGGGGTTGCCCTCGTCTGTCTGAATGGTCTCAATTCAAACAGGAAGGATGTTGAAACTCATTTTTACATGTTACACAAACTTTATATTTTCTGTTGTTGATTGATGACAAAAGTATTTTATTCAATATACTCAAACATTTAAGTTAAGGAGATCATTTTCAATTTTTGTGTTGCACTGACTTCTAACATTGATTAGTCAACTCACTGAAACGTGTACAACTTAGTTTTTTTTAGCAGAAAAATGCTTTTTTTGTTAAGTTCTACCGACAAACACAACAAATATTTTTTAGAGTGTATATGTGCAAGATTTTAAAATAGAACAACAGTGGTTTTACTATAGCAAATGCTAAAAAGGGAAGCACAGATGCCACTAGAGACTTTCAATTTGGTCATCTTGATAACAGTTACAGTTTCAGGATGAAATTTTAACTTTGAGATAAAAATAAATATAGAGAATCTAAGAGACTGTTCTTCGGCAGACTGTCATTTGCTTTGTTTTAAATGAATCATTGGTCTGGACCTGAATAGTCGTATCTGAGAGGTCCCATCCAGCGGTGTTTTTCACTCTCAGCCAGTACGTCTCCATAGAAGCCATAGCCCACCAGAGATACCAAATAGCGTACCAGGGTGGAAGCATGGTGAACTGAACACACGTCTAATGGCTGAGAGTCTCCTGCAAGGTATT